CAACCATTAGTAATTAGTACATACTAAACATTTATAGTATACTTGTTTTATACTTTCTTATACTGCAACTTTAATCCTTCGTCAAAAAAAATCTTTTGACTGATTTTTAACTTTTTTTGTGAATAGGTAATAAATGTTATAAATATAATATATCGATTTCAGATGCTGTCGAAGAGCTAACTAAAATGATAATATATTGACGATTTTATTTTTTCACCGAATCAGCAAAAATCGTGTTTTTCTGGTAACATGATGGTTATATAATATATAATATACATATAATGAATATTTTGATCGAGCATTGTCTGGAGTTTTGCTTTTAATGTTATTTTTTATTTTCTCTAAACATTTAACATGAAAACCTCATCTCTATAATTCTCTCTCTATATATATTGTTGTTAAACATGTTTTTTAAACCATACATACTGTACTTAAATCACAATGCAAACTACACGCGTCTAGTCCACATGATAATTCATTATTTCGAAATTGTCATTACGAGTATAAGTATACAACGAATAATCTTACAGTTAAATCAATACCCTATGTGCTAGTTTAAATATTAGTATATATTTAGAAACTATTTTATCCAATGTTTGTACTACGAAATGTATGTATATATACATATCTCGACGAGTAACAAGACCATTCAACAGTGAAATTTCATTTTTCGTTGTATGAATGTTAAATAACAATTTAAAACGATGACTTATTCTCATGGCGTGTATTAACATATACACAACAATTAAACGAGCATATTATTATTATTATTATAATACTCGTTTTATACTATACACATCAGGTATGTACACAAAACTACATACTAATAAATCAGTAAGATATAACGTACATAAGATATACATACAATGAAACGAAAAAACAAATAATAATTATGTAAAATATAGCCAGTGGCCAGTTGAACCGGCTGTACGAAAAATTCAACTAATTGAACTCGATAACTATCGTATTTCGAGACTAGCGTGGTTAAAAAGGCTAATTAAGTTTGATAAATACACCATGGTATGTCGGTAATCGGTATCTTGCTGTAATGTAATTTATTCTATTAACATAATTATACACGCGTACGGTCGTGATAGTAGGAGGAGGAGTTAAAGAGAAACGGAAATTCGCTTATAATATAAATATTATATGTGTTTTAGTAGTTCTTCAGTAAATATTTTAAATAAATAATAAAGGTGTAAGCATATTTTATAACAAAAAATGTTTTATTTGCAGTCTCTATAGTTTTTAGTTTTGATGTTATGTAATTATAGGCAGTACTTATACTAGACACGATGTCAGATGAACAAGGATAATTGCAACGCACAAATGCGATGATCAATGGTTAGCTTATGAATCACTTTACTTTTATTCAACAAATTGTACAAATTAAATAGGTATTGGTATTTTCTTAACCATACACTAAAATAAACACCAATAGAACAATAGTCATTGATTTCGAATGTAGTTTGTTATACATTTAAGAAATACGAACTATACATGATCGTTACTCAGTATGCTGCAGGTACACAATATACCTATATTATTAAATCATTTAAACTTAAATAGTATTTACAGTAAAGCATGATCAAGAGTTAAATATAACGATATATATACGAATCTTAATTTTTATTTGATTTTCGTCAAATAGTTAATGATAAAAAATAATATACTTTGTACTTTTGTAGTCAAGTTTGTAGGTTCCGCGAACGGGATCATTGTTTTCTTTGAGCATTCCTGGAGGTATTATAGTGTTAAAATTTAATTCAGATCATAATATACTCATACATTATCTATTAATAATTAAATTATAGCTCCCTTGTGTGCACTAAAACCTGATAGTAATTATTGCTTTACACGATGTTATTCAGTTTTACGATTATCTATTAATTATAAGTGCCATATAAATGTATTATTCATAATATTTAAGTATTTTGATATCGAGACAAAGGTTGTTATGACTTTAATACAATTTGATTATAAGTAATAATAATAAAATTGGTTTTGATAATTTCTTTATCTTGCACAGTTATTAGTTATTATTTTTTTCTACAGATTATGATAAAAATTTTATTAAATATTCATATTATTTTTCTTATTTTGATGTTAGATATATAGGTACGTTAAACCTTAAAGAAAAAATATAATTTAGTAATTGTTGTGAAAACATGACAAGTTAAATTGTGTATAATTAGTAATCACTGTACAAAAATACAATATAGGCGTGTCAAAGTATGTGCGTTTACTTATTCTAAATTTATAAGCTATACCTTCTTTATACATAAGCTTACAAGTATATTATAAAATGGTTATGATTTCACTATTCTGCCCTAAAAGCATTTACACTTATTTAATTTAAAACACTTGTATAATATTAATTATTAACATTCAAAGAAATATTATATACTTTAGAAATGTATAACGTTAATGAATGTACGCATTTAAAGAGTGTTTAGAGATTAAAAAGCAAATAATGACTTTGGAGTACATTAAAGTTAAATCATTAAATATTAATATTCTTGGTATGAAAACTGAAAAATAAAATGTGACATTTTCTATGTTTCTCGACCTGGTGCTAATTTATTATATGTAGGTAAATGTATAAGTTAGGCATTAGATTCAATCGTTGTTCAATGTGCCTAAATAAATACTTCTATGTAAGTGTATAAAATGTATTAAATATTTATTAGTAAGTACATAAAACAAAAAAATAAAAATAAAAATCGTGTTAAAGTTGGATCAAAGTTTTTAAATCAAAAGTTGATACTATGATTAGGTTCACATATAGAGTGGAGACTAAAGAAACTACTCGCATAATAAATTATTAAAAAAAAATCGTTAATTGTTAAAAACCATTGAATATGGTGGATTGTGGATAATTTTATTAAGTTTAATATTTTATTTATATAATATTGTATTAAATATTACACGTACATAAGTAGACGACGATGTTGAACACATTTTAAGATGTTCTGTGAGTGAAATTTGTTAAGCCTAGATGTTAAAATCGAATAAGACGCTTATTGTAATCATGCTTGCATATTATTTATACGCTCTTGTATAGTATTATTTAATACCACCACAACCACCACTACCATCAACGTGTATATGTAAATTCAAATATCTATCTCTCTCTTTCTATTTATATATATATATATATATATTAGACCACAAACTAATTGATTCTAACGCTGCAGCGCATACTAAATTCGCCGAGTTCTCCTCCACGAGTTGACTCTCCTTTACACACACGCACACACACCCACATACACTCTTCCTATCACAGCAATTCCATCCCTCACATCCCGCCGCCAAGTGGCTCTTTCGTTTTGACAGCGATTATTATGAACGGTACCCAGAAGGCATCGTATACATGTATAATAATATATCCACCCCTTACCCTTTACGATTGGGTTTTCCGCCTCTCGACGCGGTGAGCTTCCACGCATACCGTATCATTCGTATAATATTATCAGCCATAGTCGTGACTCGTGACACTGAAATATCATATTCTAATGCGGTTTATGCACGCGCAACACACCTATCTTTGCCAACTGCAATATTTCACGCGCGCGATCTTCATCTTGTTCTCTTGCAAGAGTACTGTTTGCCACAAATCCCACAGCCGTCTGACGATATTATATAAGAACACACGTTCTTTGTCATTTATATATTGCTATTATCATTGTTATTATTCTCGTGACCCTGCGTTTCTCTATTTTCCCGTCAGCTCAATCGTTCCGGTATGCTCTGCACTACTGTAGGTCTTGAATGTCCCCTGCCATGCTTCTAAAGAATTACAATCGCGACACATATGATTTAAGACGTAATATTGTAGTAATCCAATAAGGCAATAAGGCAATAAGGTACCGTACACAATATTATAATCGTTTGGACATGATACAACCCTGTTATTATACAATGAGGAATCGAGGACTGGCTATTTTGAAAGTAATATGTGTATTAAAATAATATCGTTATAAAATGGAGAAACACAAACGATGAAAATTTTTTTTTTCGAAACAAACATGTTTCTGTGTTCATTATATTTTTCGTATCTTAAAACCAATAGAAAGTAGTAGATTTCTTAGAACAGAAATCGCTTTGCGTATAATATTATATATTTTATAGGTATTATATTATATTGTTGTGTTACTGTACACGAGTCCGTCTTGTCCGATGGCGGCCCTGGTCAACATCAAAAACTATACGCCGGGAGAAAAGAAATAAAACAATAGACGATAGATATAATGCAAACAACTATTAATGCGACTGCCATTGGCTATTTGGTTACTGTTAATATTAGAACATTACATAGACTATATAGAGTTCTGAGGTTAATTTTAATATTATATGTATACATATATTTTGTATGTGCAGCAGTTAGTTATAGCTACGGCGGCATCTGGTTGAAGGTTTTTTACACTATATGATTTAAAAAAGTATTATGTACATGAAAATTAAATTTTTACCTCGTAAAATTTTTGCTGCCGCGCCTGAAACTCAATTTGGAATCGACCGGATTCTTTTGAATCCATTAAATACGATTTTTACATAAAAATTGAATCTGTTTATTGTATCTTATTTAAATATATATTTATTTTAATGGGCAATTTAATGAAATGTGTAGGTATTTATATAGGTATACATTTTAAATCGTACTCGTAATTGATATATACACTTCTCTGTTTATTGCGTAAATTTAATATATTATACAGTATATATACGAGTACCTATGCGATGAGATCTTTATTAACAGGCAATCGGATTTTTAAATAATCAGCTTTTGACAGTCTATACTCTATAGGAGCGCCCAGGTAACATTATAACAGCGTATATTTTTACTATAACACTATTACACATCTGCACATATTTTATGATAATAATATGTATTTATTATTAATTAAACAAATTATTAGTACTTATTAAGTATAACCTTGAATCTTGATTACCTAAGTTAACTAAACAAATATTAAAATTGATAAATTTAATGTACTTACAGGTTTGTATTGAAATCTAGATGTCACAGAATTGCTTAGTACACAAAACCTAAAAAATAAAAAATACTGTAAGTGTGTTTTATAATAATAATATAGTATATTTTTTTATTTTAATCTCAATTATATTATCACGTAAGATATTTTTAAAGACTTGTTTTTTTTTTTTTTTAATCACCTTTTTGAAACTCTTAAAAATATTATTAATGTTGATTTTTGTTTATAACGCTGAATGTGTATTAAATATTAATTAATATGTATTATAAAAAGGTCTCTCTTAAGTCTTGAATCTAAATTGAATGGTTTAAGTCATAATTTATTGAATAAACAATGGTATATATCATTATGTTTTTTTACTAGTCGCTCTAACTGTCTAACTACTGTATTACGATTATTTTTAGGTCTACATATTAAAATTGTATTTTGTGCGCATAATAATAGTTTCATTGATCTAAAATTCGTGTATAATATTTCTATGATGGAGAATACATTAAATGTTAGTATAATTTTAAAACCATTTATTATTGTACACTTACATCTTTGTTTTATTTGTAATATTTATAAACTTGGACTTGAAGTAGGTATTGAACAATAAAAACAATAATCTTGTGATAGATCCAAAAGATTAATCGAATACATGATTAGAAATATTAATAACGAATAATAAAAATGTTTTATTTTTAAATCTGATAATATGTGTAGGTACATAAATATATATATTTATACTTGGCATTCTATTTATTATTTTCAAAAAGAAAAAAGAAATACTTAAGATCTTGATTCAATGAAAACGTAACTATATCATGTACGTATGTTTTAAAAACGCTAGATGTCAACTAAAATATTTTGTATGAAATAAAATGAGACTTTTAAATTGTATACATCGTGAAATCCATTTGTACAGGTACCTACGTTTAAAAACATAATATAATATATTATTCATACTTTAAGTCTATGTGCATATAGTGTATATATATATGCCATATTACTAACATAATGTAATACGAAAAAAACGTCTAAATTTAATAAAGAAATGTCTGTGAATTTTTATTTATTTTTTTAAATATATTTATTATTTAACTTAGATAATATATTATATATCTAAGTAGTAGGTAATAATAAAATATAAATAAGTTAAAAAATATTTATTCATCAAGTATGTAACATGAGATTATAGCTCTCAACTTTCAACGACTCCTATTTTTATTCCATAGTATTTCTAACTGCAGCAGAATGCTCATATATGTCGTACAAATAATAATTATATATTTATATAATGTAATCATTTTCATTTATTGTTGATTTTTTTTTAAACAAAATTTTGAAAACCTACATGATACACTGTACTACAAGTATTAAATATACAAACTTAGTAGCTCTGAGCTCACGTAAGTATTTTTGTATACCAAGTATGTACACATAACAACATTAATAATAATGTATTGTAGTACAAACTATCATTATAAATAAATCATTGTTAATTATACGTAAGTATAAAGTTAATACAAAATAATGTGGCAAAAATTTAAAAAGAATTACGTGTACCTTCTAAATAAAACATTTTATATGTATACATTTTATATTATACTTAAACATAATCTGCTTATTTTATTATTTACATTTTCCTAGTAATAAATATTTATGCAATCAAAATTCCAAAGTATAACAAATGTATATATTTTTTTTTTCATCATGTCAATTTACATAGATAATATTTTCTTTTATCTTTATTTTTCTAATTTTGAAAAATACTAAACAATTTTTATAATAAAACATATATTTTCAACGATTTTGGTAAACGAGTTATAAAATTACATTTTTATATCTAAAAAAAAAAAATGAAATTAAAAACATACTTTTGTTTAAAATTGAATAACTTTGTATTTTTTTGTTTATATACATATGGTAATTTTTCGCATTTAATATTTGTTCTTATATGTGCTTTTTATTTGATAAAACAAAAGTAATTAATGATGAAATAAATTATATTATAAACTTTTAATGTTTCGTTAATTTTTATCACTATTGTTATTTGGAAGTTTTCTATAGTAAAATAATATTATTTGCACATTTTCATGTATACACCTCTTTACTAAAATTAAAAATTATTACATTTTTCGTGGTTATGAAAGTTATATTAATTGATTAATGTGACTAATGGAGACATCATAGTGCGCAAGTACATATCCAAGTGTATATGACATTTTTTGTTGAAGTACATTCTTTGTTATGTAAAATTATTTAATATGCTATGAAAAAAGATAAGTTTGATTGACAGCATTTTTTAGCAAATTTTTTTCTAGAAATTCTATAGTTTATGGTAATTCATTTATTGTAAAATAATTAATATAGGTATATAATACTTAATTGCCATCTGAATTTTATTTATACATACAATTATTTTTGTATGGTTGTAAGTAAAATTAACACGTGTTTAAAAAATATTTATATAATTAAATTTTTTTTCTATATAAAACAAAGATAAGTTACAATTTATGTAATAATAAAATAATAAGTGAATTTGAAAACTTATAATGTATTTAAGACGGAAAAATTAACTCTGAACTTATAGATTGTAATGAAATCGTATCGGGTCGCATAATTTGTTTAAATCACCTTGCAGTTTATTAGGTACGCATAACTTTTCATTAAATTTAAATCTAAAGGATTTGAATATAAATTACGTTGTTTTTTATGCACCTAGAGAACAAATATATGCAGTATATTTAATGATAATCTTGCATTTAAGCTCGAAGTAAATTTATATTTATATACACGTAGAATGTACCTATTTTAAACGACAGATCGATCGGTGAACTGTCATTGAGGATTATAATATTAACAGATAAAAGAACGTATGGACGACGTAATAGTTAGTATGTGCTCATATAGAATAAATTAATATATATATATATTATAAGTATATGCGTATATGTGGTTGCATGGAATTTTATCTACATCTAAAACGCGTACCTTTTTTTGGGGGTTAGTATTCTCTAAAAAGGAAAAAGGGATAATGGGATTTTGCGTCATTCCAGATAACGCGCTTGTGAGATATTACATTTTTTTTTTTTGTGTCACTATTCATAGTTATACTCTTTAGGCCCCTCTAAATGTTTCAGATTTCTTTTCCGCGATTAGAATTAAGCGTATTTGTACGACCGGGTCCATTATCTGACATGTTTTAATCAATCTTCGGACTCACATGTCTGAAGTTCCTCGTATAAATCGGATTAACCCGATCAGCGAGGACAAGAAAAAAAACTTCTTTTTTATCCTAACATGATATCATTGTTGTATAATACAAGATGAAATTTCCTGGACCAAAAGATCGAATATCTACATTTTGCTCAAAAATAACTAATCTCTTACGGCTGTCCATTTTCTGTTACTTAAAGGTTTTAATATTATAAGAATATGTTGTTACTTCATTATAATAAAATTAATCATTATTTAATTTATTATTACAACACTGTATAATGTATGAACGTATGATGTTTAACTATGAAATGTTAAACATCGTTAAATGTTTGTAGCAGTTATATTTTTAAGTTTTCAAACCTGCGGTTTATAATACTTTTAATGTATTCAATATAGCCCACCTAAAAATAAATACAAAATCAATTTAAAAAAAATAAAACAAACATATTATGGGATTTTCTATTTCAATATCGTTAGTCAAAATGACAACATAATCTCACGACGAAGAAACGAAAGAAATATTATATTACGCAATAAGCACATAATATACACGAAACGCGTATTAAAACTATTTTATCCTGATATATTGTATAAAGCACTAGTATAGCATATTTTCAAACGCTCCAACCCGTGACAGCTGATGTTTGATAAGTGTTTTTGACACAATAGTTGCCTGCGGTGTGATGGCTGCGCAGTGCGTATAAATGGGGCGGTCAAAACGTTTTATGGGATTTTGTTAGTATAAAAACGGTAGAAGACAGTACGACGGACGTAGAATAAAAATATGACGATGATGATGATGAATCGTCGTTGTCAATGACGGTGGTCCAGACCTAGATGCTAAAACGAAAATTGTACACCAAGGCGATATACATTTTCGATATTGATAATAATATAATATAGTTATGAATAATAATACGCGCATGGCAACCATCCCGATCGATCATAAGCTCGAATTTATCGATCTACATACAATATACATGTATATAAAATAAATATTATAAAATAATAATAATAATAATAATATAAATACGAGTTGGAGAGTTATCGTTTTAGGGATTGTCCACTGATGGATGGATTGTCCCCGCTGCAACATCGCATCAATCAAACCCTTCCGTTGTGTCACTCGGCCAAAAAGTGAAGAGGATAACGAGGGAGAAGTGATGAGTGGGGGGAAGTGATCAATAAATGCGCCCGCTGAACCACTGATGTGTGTGTATATACGGAGAAAAAGAGATACCGAGAACGCACGCACGTGAACAGAGGGAGAGACAGAGTGTTTTATTGTCGAGGTTAATACGAGTAATACACAAAATATGTACTATTTAAAATAATGCTGTGTGAGATTTTGATTTTAAATTTCATGAAATTTAATTGTATTATGACTTAAATAACATATAATATAATATAACCATACGCAATGTAATCGTCCCAAAAATTGTAAATGGTGCTTGAAAGCTGTGACATTGTCGGTCTGATTATCAGTTTTATAGTATATCTATAACCTGGTAACTTTGAAGTATTAGAAAGATTATGTCACACGGCTTCTATGTCTTGGATATTATTAATACGACTAAAAAATGCGTTAAAACAACAAAAGTCAAGTATTTATCATAAGCGATCGAGGTTTGTTTTTTTATCAAAACGCCATTGGTACAAATAATATTTGCGAAGGCTATGTTAATATAGTATTTACCATATTATTATCATTTATTATCAAGTTGAATAAAATACTCTTATATAAATATGATCAATTTATCACAATATGTATTGTTTATAGTAGGCAGCTGTATTGCAGATTTCAAGTTATTCAGTTCATCGCCTATACCTAATGATTCGAGTTAAACGCCA